CAGAAAGCAAGAAATCACCCCTCAGGGGGGATGGTCACGCTGCAATCCCTTCTCCTCCATTCTCCTCTCGGGATCTTGGGCATGCACGCACACGCGCCTGGCGTGAGTTTTAAGCCACCGGGTCCGGGACGCGAACCGTGGTCGACTACGTGGGAGTCCAGCGACATAGCCATTACGCTAACTGCTGGTTCCCGGAACCCAGCTCTTTAACTACCATGTCATCTGCTGGCCCCCGTTTTTCCTTTTTTTTAACTTTCTGAAGGGCACACGTGCTTGTCACATACACAGAGAGGAGAGGGGAAAAGTACTCCCCAGTGGGGTGTGGTCACACCACAATCCCTTCTGCTCCATTTCTCCGTCCTATCAGGATTTGGAGCACGCACATACATGTACCTGTCATGTTTTTGCAAGCCACTAGGGCCAGGATTCAAACCTCATAGTCAGCCATGGAATATCTAACTCCCTTAACCACAAGGCAACAGGAGCAGCCTCCAAGGTCATTGTTGATGTCAACACGATTCAGTCTTTCAAGGCCGGAAGGTGGTGTGGTGGTTGGGATGCTGGGCACTCACGTGGCCAACCATGGTTCAAGTCCCAGACCTGGCGGCTTGCTTTCTCACTTTCCCTCTCTCTGTCCCTCTCTGGTCAAACGTGCTTGCATTTCCAGTCTTTTTGCAGAGGAATGTGTTGGTTGCTTAATCTATAGACTCCTTTGATTAAGACCTTGTCAGATATTTACTAAAAATAAGTGCAGGCTAATTGTAGCAACCCGAATACAAATGGACTGAAGGCAACTTCTATGCTTGAATGCTTAGCACCACCTCTACCTTTGTGATGAAATTGGTGACTGTCATTGTGACCATCAGAAGTCACAATGCCTGGCACAGGGCTCTGGCACATCGTCATTGGTTCACTCCAGTGTTCAGAACTGAGTCACCAAACTATAATACTAGTGAATGCCTGACCTTCTCTGAGCATTGGACATGATCAGTGTACAGCAAAGACAAAAGCCGTTGAGCTTGGGAGAAAACAATTGGCTTCACAGGTGGCTTGCCCAGGGCCTCCAGAGCTCCAGAGCTGCCTGCCCCAGAGAAACAGGACAGCAGGTGTGGGCTGGGCAAAGGACCTGTGTCA